TTTGTCTTTCTCACTCTCCTTCCTAGCATTTTCCACCTACATTCCATTTAAATACAGAACATTAAGCAAGTTCTTCATGAGTAAAAAAAGGGAGTCTTAAGTAATGGAGGGCCACTACATTCCTTTGAATTATCTGATGAATGTAATAAAAGTTTTGCAGATTTTGGGAGAAATAGTATTTCATAGCAGAGAAGTAGTATTTCATAGCAGAAGTACAGGTGTAGCCTGTAGTAAGTTTTGGGAATATGGATTTGTCATTGGCCCTTTCATGAAACTTGAATTCTGCTTTTCAGTTTGCTAGACACTAATTGAAGACTTTAGGCAGTTTCTTCTTTGTTCTTTATCCAGTGCCCAACATGCGAATTTATCTTAAGAGTTTGATGTCGGGGAAAATGATCTATTACATTGCTGAAAAGTGTTTAGGGACTACCAGACTGAAGATAATGTTTTCCTCCTAGTAGCTAGAGTGAGGATTTAGAAAAAAATAACTCACCTTGGTTGACTTCTAATTTTGAAGTATGGATTATCTTTCCAAAAAAATGAAAGGATTGGTATAAACTATGTAAAAAGTGTAGATCTTTTTGAGGAAGTTAATGGAGTTGGGTACATACATACATAATGCCTGTATGTATGATGACAGCACTGTCAGGAAGAGGCTGTCAAATACTGAGACCTTTGGGTATTCTTCTAACTCCCTGGAATAGTACCAAAAGCAAGCTTTATTTAGTACCAAGCTATTCTTCGTAGTAATTAGTGTGTGTTTTACTAAAATTCATGAAAAACAATAAAACTACAAACAGTGCTTAGATTTATATGTATCTCTTCCCTCTGTATAAAGTGGTAGACAGAAGAAAAATAACCCTGGGAATAGTTATTTTTATGTTTTACATAGATGTGTGTGTTGTCATGTTGTTTCTTAGTAAGATACATGTTTTATATTATGACCAGAAATGTGAGTAGTATGTTTGTATACAAAGCAGAAGTTTAATAAGGTAGTTGTTCATACTTTGCATAAGTATATGCAAGAGGAAGGAATTTAGAAAAAAGAATGGAAGGAGAGAAAGACAAAGCTAGAGGGAAAGGGAGAGATTGTGAGTTTGATAAAATCTCAAGGAATAAATGTGCTCCACATGCTGTTGACCTCCGTTTTGTTAGCATACAAAACAAAACAACAGATGTCATAGGTGATGCCCCTAACACTGATTTCTAAACTATTCAGGTTATTCCATTATCATAGTCTTCCTGACAGGTCTGCCCATGTTGTTTTTGAAATACTAAAGTCCTAGATTTCTTTTTAAATAAGATTTTATTTTTTATAACTCATGTCCTAGGAGAGTGTGTATATCCCCCTCTTTACTTCATCATTCTTAACCATCAGTGTAATACATTGAAATTATAGGGAAGAGTTTTTTTTTTTTTAAAGATTTTATTTTATTTATGCTTACTGAACTGGGCTACAGGCCAGAGGTATGGTGGGTGAAAGGATTCACCAGAGACAGAGTAGGGAGTAGAACAGGCAGATCGACTAATTACACTGCTGACAGGAAATTGGGATTGTCAGGAGAGGGCTGCCACACCATGTGGGTCAGTTCCCTGGCTGGGGTCAAACTCATGCTACAGTGGCTCCAGAGAGCCTCATAATGTGGTGCTTTAACCCATTGCACCACCAGGGAGAGCCCGGGGGAGGTTTTTAAGTGTTAATTTAGGCTGAAAATTTCTAGGTCACAATCAGATGTTTAGAAGACTAGCACACACACGTACACATGCACATAAACACATACATGGCCTTGGGAAGTTTTAAATTAATAATATAGTGAGTCTCTGTGTAAAGCAGTAAGTTGTTTAAATGACTTCTTTTTAAATTTAATTGGAATTATTTTTTCCAAGAAATTTTCAGATTAGATTAGTGTAGAAGTAAGACCATGTTTACTGCCTAATGTATTCTGATAATAATTTTGTTGTAAAATTAAAATATTAAAGGAATCCTTTAATGTGTGTATAGTATATATGTGTGCATGCATACATCCGTCCATTTGTCTTACATCAAGGGAGAAAAAGAGAAATATTCCCAGCATCCAATAAAATACAGCAGCGAGCTTGTTAAACACCTATGTACCTGCATTTCTTCACTGATTTTCAGAATATGTGAACTAGCTGTCAATCACCCAGACGTGTTCAGGTTAATATGGGTGAATACTAATTCATGAGTTGGGCCATGCTAAGTTTACTTCTACTCATTTTCCTTAGACTTAAATGTGGTATGTAGTTTATTTTCTGATTCATCCCCTAGTGCCTCAGATTTCTCATTAATGTGTAGCAGTGGGCCTTCTGCTTTTAATCCTCTTAAACAGCTTTGGAAGAATGGAACAAATTTCTTAAATGAGCCGCTTGGTTAGATGTTACTCGACAGGCAAATGTGATATTTGTGACTAATAATTTTATTCCAGTTTACTAATGCACATTGCAATAATGATAAAGATGGAGATAGTGTATGCTAGAGCTGTATCTTTCTGGGTTGGATGAGTTTTTTGAACATTCGCTGTGCTTTGTTAATATTTTCCATAGGAAATTCTGAGAATTACGTGAGTTAATGTCAATATCTAGCACATAGAAGTTGCTTAATTTATGTTATTTTAATATTAATCACTGGCCTTCTTTCAAGTGCTTGAACATGCTGAAGACTGATTTCCAAATGAATAGGGGTATTTCTGCACAAAAATATTCAACAAAGCAGATTTTAACATTGTTTTCTCATCTAAACTCTCTCTTAAAACCCAACCCCGGTTGATTGTTTTCATTGTACTCTTGGTTTGTTTTTGCATCTAAAGCCTGATAGGCACATAACAAGCGCTTTGTGAACCTTAAACTGAGGGAAAAGAAATTGTTCAGATGAAAGGTATGTGGATAAGTCAGTTTTGGGGCAATTCTAGAAGACTCTTGCCAGAACTGGTATCTTTGTTTTGGTCTTCAGAGACTATTAAATGTGATCATTGAGTCATACTTGCTGTTTTCTCTGTCCCCTGGCTATCTCTCTTAAAACCCTGAAACTTGCCAGCCACTGGATGTTTACAAGGCAGAGTAGGCCTTAGCCCAGGGGGAGTTTGTTTATTAAAAGACAAATAATTAAGTTCAAACATCCCTATCATGTCTCAGCTAGTCTAGTCATGTGAAAGTCAGTGAGTTCTTTTGATTCCTTCTGGTGGTCAGGTCTAAAGGTAACAGATAAATTTGAAAGTAGACACACTGTTGAGATTATTTTGAACTTTATAAAGTAATCTCAGACAGAAATCCTTAAAAAGTAGGTGGAGAAGGAAGGCCATTTATTTTGCTAGTTGTTTTTTAAAGGGATTCATTTAATTAAAATCTTAGACTACACTTTTCTTGCATTAGGTTATAGATGATTAAAAGACAAAACAACCATTAAAAAAAAAAGGAATCACTGATAACTATATCTTCATTTATTCTTTGAAGTTGGGACCATAAGAATTATCTTAAAAGGGATAGTATAACTCTAGATATTTAGACACAAAGTTATTAAAATTGATATTTGTGTTTCATATGATTACATCTCCAAAATGTACAACTTTTTTCTCCTTATATATTTTCTGCTGGATAAAGAAATCAAACACAGATAGTTTGTACCTTCCTGGATACCAGGGCATAATCTATTTCTCTCTTCTTAAGATTTATTTACTTATATATACAAGAATTGGGGTATAGGCCAGAGGTACAAGGGTGAGAGGATTCACTAGAGAAAAAGCTGGGAGCAGAACAGGCAGATTGACAGAAATACACTGCTGAGTGGAGTAGGGGGTGGGACAGGAGAGGTCTGCTGTGCCTTGTGGATCTCCTCTCTGGCAGGGGATTGAACTTATACTGCAGTGGCTGCAGTTGGCTTCATAGTGCTGCGCTCTAACCCCTTGCTCTACCAGGGAGGCTCCAGGGCATAATCTCTTTGATGAAATAACTTGTTAAAACACAGGCACACAAACAAATCCTAAAGAAATGGAGGAGGAATAAGCCAGAGATATAGCTGGTATTCTGGGCAGAGGGGAAAAAAAGCAGGCTCAGAGTCATAAAGTGAATCTGTGCATGGTGTATTTAAGGAAAGTGTCCAGTATTTCCAGAATGGAGTGAATAGGGAGGGAATGGTGGTAGTAAGAGATGAGGTTGAGAGATGAGAAGGGGAGATCAGATCATGATCCTTGTGGACAATTTGTCAGAACATTGGCTTTCAGACTGTTGAGCTGACACTCACAGGGTTTGAATGGAATGACATGATTTGATTTGCTTTTCAAAAGGTCTCATCTGATTGATTTGTTGAGGTGAACAAAGGGAGAGAATAGGAGATCATGTAGGTGAGAAATAAGGTGGCATGGGCTATGGTGGTAAGTGTGGAAACGGGTAGTGAAGGTGTATGGACTGTACTGTTTTCACATGTGCGATTTTAGCACTCCTCTTTTGCATCTTTATATTTTATTTTTCCAGTCTATAAAGGGATATCAAGTATGGTAGAGGCAATACAATTTTATACTCAGTATATATAGAACTATCTAATTTAAGTATGATAGCCTGTATTTTATCCCTAACCCATTTATGTCTTTTTTTTTTTAAGATTTATTTATTTATTCATACAGAACTGGGGTACAGGCCAGAGATGTGGAGGGTGAGAGACTCACCAGGAACAGAGTGGGGAGCAGAACAGGCAGATCAATGAAGTACACTGCTGAGGGGAGCAGCGGGCCGGTCAGGAGAGGTCTGCCTCACTATGCGGATCTCCTCCAGGGCAGGTGGGGATTGAACTCATGCGGAAGTAGCTTAAGCTTCTTAGTGCAATGCTTTAACCCGCTGCGCCACCAAGGAGGGCCCATTTATGTCTTTTTATTAGAAAGTTTCTCAAGCACTCTTTGGATCATTGCCTGTAGTCATTAAAATTTAGATAATTGTTCTTAAAAATACAATTTCTTGTTATAGTCTTAATTATTACATTTTTATTTCAGAAATGACCATTAAGAAGTAGATGCCCAGATGCAAAAGTGATGAAACAGTCAATTTGTCATAAACTAAGATGCAACTGTGGCTTTTCAACCAGATTAGTAAGTATTGCCAGTTTTTTTAAACTTTGTTTATTTTATCTACTTTGAGAACTATTTAATTAAAAAATAGTATAGATATTTTTTTTTTTAAAGATTTATTTATTTTTTCATACAGAACTGGCGTACAGGCCAGAGATGCGGAGGGTGAGAGGTGAGAGGATTCACCAGAGACAGAGAGGGGAGCAGAACAGGCAGATCTACGAAGTACACTGCTGAGGGGAGCAGCGGGCGGGTCAGGAGAGGTCTGCCACGCCATGTGGTCACCTCCGGGGCAGGCGGGAATCGAACTCATGCGGAAGTGGCTTTAGCTTCTCAGTGCAGTGCTTTAACCCGCTGCGCCACCAGGGAGGGCCCTGTTCTATACTTTTTTTAAGGACTTAATTTTGTTCACACTGCTGTAAAGAGTATGCTTCTTGTATATATTTTAAAATTAAATTTGTTTCAGATGTTTCTCCTTGGGAATAATACACCGTTCAGTTCAGCATTTCTTATTGGGGTGATGAAAGTATTCTGGAATTATGGTGATGGTTACACAACTTGATGGTGATGATGGTTACACAACTTGATGAATACAGCAAAAAACACTGAATTTTACATGTTAAAAGGATGAATTTTATGATGTGGATTATACCTAAGGGGGAAAAAAATTACCTTTTAGAATATTAAATCTTGATTAAGAGTAAAACCCAATTGAATACTGATATTTTTAGAATGTGAAAATATGCCAGATATCAATATGTACTCGAGCAAGATGACTTGATAATTGCTAAAGCAGTATTTTTGTAATCATAGAATAATAAATTTTATAATAAATAATGTGATAAGGTTTATTTTTATAAAAAACAATAAAGTACTTTTATTATTTAGGTACTTACTGTCTTAATATTTGGTCAAACCAAATATTATAATGTTCTGATCTACTTACTTGCTGTTTTGTAAATTAATTTTAAGAGACTTTGTGTTTTGCAACTAACTTTTCTATCTAAAATTTTTTTAGGAGCAAAATTGTATCTCTTTTTCTCAGAAGATAATTCCACAAGGTAAGAAATTGTTAATAAAATAGTAAATCAGTTGTTATTGAATAAATGCTTAATTGCATTAGATTTTTAAAATCCTTTCACCATGATGATTCTCAAAAAATTTTCAACTATTTATTTGCTTGCAGGACACAAGTTGATCTTGTTTCACTTTAAGATTAAAAGGGTGTGATAAAGTATTCACTTTTGAGCTGTACATTGCTTGCCAGCATCAGTGCTTACTCCCAGCATCCTTAGGAGTAGTTGGCACATTTTAAGAAAAGTGTTATCTTCCATTGGCCTCATTCATCTTTACCTCAGTGAAAATCGTCTAACTGATTTGGGGGAGCAAAGGTTTACTATTGACGCTGTTGTATTTTTCAGTCATATGAGGTTATTTATTTATTTTTAAAGATGTATTTTGAACTGGGGTATAGGACAGAGGTGTTGGGGGGGCTAGGGGGGCGTGAAATTAGAGATGAGAGGATTCACCAGAGACAGAATAGGTAGCAGAACAGGCAGATCTAACTAAAATACACTGCTGAGGGGAGCAGTGGGCAAGTAAGGAGAGGTCTGCTGTGCCATGTGGGTCACCTCTGGGCCAGGGATTGAACTCGATCTGCAGTGGCTTCAGAAAGCTTCATAACGCTGCACTTTAACCAGCAGGGAGGGCCCTATTTTTTTCTTCTAAGGGGGTATGGAACCCACATATTCATGACATTGCTCAATGACAGCACCACAATATTAGGAGAAGCAAATTCTCTGAATCCCCTGATAAAAATTGTCAGAATGGTAATACTTCCAAGTCTGTAGTGATGGTATGCCTCATAGTGAAGATCAGAGAGAGAGGGGGAGACCCCATAAGGGGTGCTGGCATTAGGAGGAGTATAGTGGCAGCGTTGTCAGATCAGGGATGGGCTTCCATCTGGTGGAAGAAGCTAAAGGTACCTAGTTGGGAGCAGTTTTTGTAAGAGAGGAGAACCTTAGGGATACTTTGTTCTGGCGGCCTATTAGAAAATATGAAATTGACTTAGAGGAAAAGAAAAGGAATTCATGTCTACTAAAAGTGAAGCTGGCGTTGAGACTTTTTGAAGATGTAGTTATTTATGTCAACACTTCAGTGTTTATAGGATCTTTAGTGGGGAGATAAGCAAGTCTTAAAAGTTGCTGTTAATTTTGTATCCCACGCATTGTTTAATACTTACCCCATTCTTAAAAAGTAACTATTCATTGAATTAGACATAAGGTAACAAAATAGCCTTTGTTTAATTTCTTTCATTTTTGAGTATATCATATGTCATAGTAAATTCATTATTCTCACTTCAATATCTTAACACAAAACATAGTAGAACAGATACTACTCTCATTTTACTAATGAGGAAAGCCGTAGTGGAATTAGCTTTAGACTAATCATTACTGCTGCCCTGTCAATTGATATTTTACTACATACAGAAAGTGTAATTACAAAATGGTTTTAACTTTAAAGAAATGTTTCTAACCAAGAAGAGTCTGATAGCCTGAGAAGTTTAAAAATATATATAACCGGCCCTCCCTGGTAGAGCAGCCGGTTAAAGCACAGCACTAAGAAGCTAAAGCCACTGCAGCATGAGTTCGATTCCTACCTGCTCCGGAGGTGACCACATGGCGAGGCAGACCTCTCCTGACCCGCCTGCTGCTCCCCTCAGCAGTGTACTTCGTTGATCTGCCTGTTCTGTTCCCCACTCTGTCTCTGGTGAAGCCTCTTGCCACCCCTGAACCTCTAACCTGTACCCCAGTTCTGTGTGCACAAACAAATAAATCTTAAAAAAAAAAGAAAAAAAGTTGTTAAAAAAAAAATATATATATATAAAACCAATGAACAATGTAAACAGTAATCACTTTAACCTTAAGTCTCACTAAAACAGCATTTAATCAATTAATATGGATGTTGTCCACCATTATTATATAGAGGGTTATTTCATAAATAGTTCCAATTTTGAATAAATATCATAAGGATAGTTTTAACTTTTGAACATACCTATTTACTTAAAGATTTGGTGTCAAATTTTTTGGGTGTGAACATTTTGATTTCATGTATTTTAGATGTAACTCTCTGGCCCCAAATTGTTTGTTGGTTGAAAATAAAGCAAGTTGTATTATAAACCTTTACTTTTATCCTAAAAGTCCTAATTTTGTTCAGGCCTAGCTTTAGTGGTATAAGCACAGGTCAAAATTGGTTTTGAGTAATCCGGGGCCAGAGGATCCTTGAATATACTAGCTATTTGTTTCAGTATTTACTTTACATTTGAGTCATTGAAAGATTGTGAGAGATTTCACAAGTAGGTGGTGGGCTAAAAGAATACAGATTAAGTTGTAGTCTCTTGAATAGATTGGTAGTATAGGAATTTGAAGTTTAACTGTTTTTGTTCAAAAACAGGCAATGGTATTAAAAAGACATGTCTTCTCACTCTGGTTTCTCATTGTATATGAAGGCTTAGATGTTACCATTCAATTTATGTAATCTTGAACCTTAAAAAAAGTGGGTAATACTGACATTTTATTAAAGAATACGCTTGGTTCAGGTACCTTTTTGTTTCATGTTCTGCTCTTCCTTAGAATTCCATACGAACTGCCTTGATTTAATTTTTAGTTACTTGCTTTTAGATTAAAAAAAAAACCTCAAAACTCAGAATAGATTGAAACTTGACACAAATTGCTGCCACAGAACAAAAGTGCTGATCAAGTTAAATCAACCCCTGTAATGTGTATTGAAAGGAAAACCTCTCCTCTCTCCCCCAATTTGAAGAACAAGCATTTTTCCTGCCAAGAAGGGCTGACTTTAAATGGACCAGCTGTCCATATTAGGAGCATAGGGTTGCTAAGGTGACCATGGCTGTTTGGAGAAAAATGCAGCTGAGAGGGCAAGTTCTTGATGTGTGAGCTGAGGGAAGGAATGTGGTGTGATTGCGCATCATTCCTCCTAATCACATGCTCACAAAATGCTGTGTGGGCAGCATGTAGAAACTACAAGTCTGTGTGCGGTTAAAACATTCTGTTTTCATGTGAGCCAGAGCTTACAGTTTAGATTGAAAACGTCTACTTATATGTAGATGCGTGTTTTTGTTGAAGGGAAGGGCATTTTGATGGTTGATGAAAAAGGGAATGAATTTATTTGGCTTGTTGGACACATACTTCCATATTGTTAAAATTTTATCTTGGGTTAAATGAACTTTCCAGTGCACCCTTTTTAGTCACATACACAATGTTCGTAAGTTACCCAGGTGAGTGATGTATTCCTTGTAATTGTGCTCATTTCTTTGGCACTTTTAATTTCAGAATTATTTGAAATGTTTATGTTGAGTGTTTTCTTTCTTTTTTTAGTATTTTTCTTCTTTCCAAGGGAGATGTACATGAAGTGTTTTTCCCTGAAGCATCCAAAAATAGGTTCTGTCATTTTGTAGAAAAATATGATTCATGGAGCAATAGGAAAGGTCAGGTTCTTTAAATAAAACACTATTTAGATGTTGTCATGGGCATCATTGCTAATGTTTGAAGTGAGATATGACACAGACATAGACAGTGAAGTATGAGATAAATCCTGTTTCCAATTCCCTGCAATAATGTGTTCATCTTAACTGAGCCATAAATGTGTAATGTGTTTAAGAGATGATGTAGTTGAAACATTGGCAACCCTGTATGATATTAGCATCACATTTTTTCCCCTTAATCAGTCTGCTTGTTTTGACATGATTGCTGTTTAATTTATAAAGTATGGAGGGAAATTAAAAGATTAAATGATTTAATCTTTGAATCCTGTTGGTTATTTGCCATTTCTCATGTGTACCTTGATAACTTTTGATCACATTCTCTATCACTTGTCTCCTTGCCCGAAACACAAACAGAATAGAATCTGTTTATATTTTACAACAGTCTTTAATTTTAATATACTTAAATACATAAATATTTTTCCCTTACAGTTTGTCTTAATCTTTTCATAGCCAGAAGTCATCAAGATAATTCTTCAACTAAAGTTATGGCTTTGCATATCACATTTAATTTGTAAATCTCTTAGTAACTGACTTGTATAAGAAGTACTGGTATGAATTCACTCTTTCCATATTGATAATTGGTTATCCTGGTGTTTTTAATATTTTGAGTAACTGCCATTCTCTTTTCCATAGCAGCTGTGCCATTTATGTTCTTACCAGCAGTGCACAAGGGTTCCAATTTCTCTACATCCTTGCCAACACTTTTCTTTTGTTGTTGTTGTAGATATCCTAATGGGTATGAGGTATAGCTCATTGTAGTTTTGATTTGCATTTCCCTAGAGGCTAGAAATGTTGAGTATCTTTACATATTTTGGTTGGTCATTTATATATTTTTCTTTAGAGAAATTTCTGTTCAAGCCCTTTGTCTAGTTTTTGATCAGAGTATTTGCTTTATTTGCTGTGTGTGTGTGTATTTTTTCTGGATATTAACCCCTTAACAAGACAAATGATTTGCAGATATTTTCACTCTGTTCATTATTTCCTTTTGTTCACAGAAGTTTTTAATTCTCATGTAGTTTAGTTTATCTGTTTTTACTTTTGTTTTTTGTGGTGTCATATCCAAGAACTCATTGCCAAATCCACTACTTGAAGCTTTTCCCAAACTGTTGGATTGTCAGAAAAATCATGACATTTTTTCCCTGTGTTTTTCATAGATCATTTATTTATATAAAGAACAAAGATCAGTCAGTGAGATATTGCCTTTTTTGGTTGATAACCTCTTACCATATTTCAGTGAGCTTCAGAATTTCTCGTTCATAGAAATACCTGTTCTTATCAGTGGAAACTGAACAGGTACTGATTCACAGCCGCGTCTGAATTAAACATTATACCATGCAAGGAGTTTTGGAAAAAGTGAAACAAACTAAAGTCTTAAAGTCAGGCAGTTAGGTGGAGGTGGCAACATATCCCATCCACGCTCCAGTCATTTTTGATGGGTGATCACACTTGTGTGTGGTCTTAAATAGTCTTGATGGTACACAACTCCTATACATCTGG